CTTTCAGGCACTTCCTCCATTTGAAGGGAACAGAATCTTGAAGAGGTGGCCATTTGGCCTTGAGCCCAATTTTCACTTTCTTCTCAGCCAATCCCTGGAGACATTGGAGCTCTAGTGTAAAGGGGACTAGTTTTTCTGGAGAATCTTCTTTTGGTGACCTTTGAGTTTTTGGCTCAAGAGATTTCTAAAAGATAGTCTATGAGTCTGGTTCAGGTTCTGGGTCTTGGTTCAGCATTTCTTGGGCTTGCATCTGTGGTGCTTCTGATTCATCCCATTCTCTGTGTGTGAGTCTTTTCCTCATCTAAACAGTTTACAAAATTGAAGTCATGATACTTTTAGATTGTTCTAGACCTTGAATATTTTCACAGAGTGTTTCTCACTTGTGAACATATTGGATTATAGGCCTGGAATTTTAAAGCTGAATATAAAATCACTGTATATCCACCAATGCCATATGAGCAACCTGGATACAAAAATGAGCTGTTGCTTTCATGTTCTGGTTAGCCTGAGCACTACACAAAAGTGTTGGCATGCATCAATCCCAACATATTTCATCCAACAGACTGTATATCTTCTGCTTGCATACTGCTGTTCCTACAATCTGCCTTGTTCAGGAAAAAGAAAAAAATAGACACAGATCATGAGCAAAAGCCAGACACTCACATCCTTTTTGGCAGACATTGTTTGGCTTTTGAAACCTGCCTTCTGCTGCTTGGGCCATTGACCACTTTCAACCCAGTTGACCTCTGTTGCAGAATGGACAGAATTGCCCCATATAACACAACTGAAGATGTCATCAATTTATAACAGATGCCTCCAAGAAATGCCCCTCATCCCTTATAAGGAAGAACGTATGGTGCTGTTTACTGATGGTAATGGTTCCTGAACTCCCTTCTGCCTCACTGGTGATCTCTTCAAGCATTCAATTAGAAATGCATGCAGTGCCAAACAGATGACTGATGCTGTTATCTCCAACAGCATTGGCTTCATCACCTCTTTGGGCAGAGGGGAAATTGAATTAACCAATCTACAATCTAGCAAGTCTTACAAACCCCAAGAAGAAAGGAAGGGAAACAAGCTAGATATTACATTGGAAGAAAGACAATGTGGCATTTGGAATTAATTCCTTGTTCCCTCAGTGGAAATAGCTTTGTCTTGCAAGCATGTTCCAGCTGGCCTTCAGATGGTAAAGATAATACCTTTTCTCTCAAGTGGAAGATTTGCAGTTGGCACACAGTTGCAGCACCATTCAGAGTCAGTCCAGCAGAGCAGCTCTGTTCTGTTTTATCTCCTATCAGCTTGTAATAATTGCAATGATGAATTGTAATTATGAATTGAATTGACTGTGCTTCCATTTTTAAATTTACTGCTGCAGGTTTTAGTTTTGATTCACAATACAGTTCTACACAGTAGAAAAGGGAGAAGCCACGTGTTATCCCTGACATTGAAAGGAAGACTATACTGTTGTCCATGCGGAGATCATTCCAGAGATATTTTCCAATCCCAAAAAGGGAGCCGCGATTAAACCTTTCTGCCAGCTGAACTGCTGACCTGAAGGTTGGCAGTTCGAATCCGTGAAACAGGGTGAGCTCCCATGTGTCAGCCAGAGCTTCCTACACGGGGACATGAGAGAAGCCTCCCACAGATGGTAACACATCTGGGCATCCCCTGGGCGATGTCTCTGTAGATGCCAATTCTCTCACACCATAAGTGACTTGCAATATATTCTCAATTTGCTTCTGACATGATAAAAAAAATCCCACAAAAATCCTACACATACACTCCTTTGAGACTCTCCCCAAAGCATCACACAGATAAGTGCCACAGTTGTTAAGAGGCTTTGAAAATGACAGAGGTCTCAGGGCAGCTTTCATCAAGAAATCAAGGAGTTCAGAAGTAAATAGCAATGAAACAATTCACACAGGGTAAAACAGAATAAAAATAAATGCAAGGTAAACACAGCCTAAGTTGAAACTGATCAAGCAGCATGGGAAATAAGGCATTTCTGCCAAAAGGCAGAAAATGGTGCAAGCTACTTGGCTTCCTTAGTAGAAGCTGGAAAAGTTATTTTTTGGACTCAGGCTCCCAGCTAGCTTGTGGATTCTGAGCATTGTGTATTTGTGTGTTTGCATAATTTGTCCAAGCTCTCCTCTTCAGCTATCTATATTCTACCCCCTTTCAATTCACTGATTTCATAATTTTCCACCAACAGCTGCTTTAGCTGTTGACAGTGAAGAAAAGAGACCAAAAGGCTTCCACTGTAATAAAACACCCATAGCAGAAGCTGGAGGGAAAGATTTTGGGGACCATGGATAGCCTTATGTTTGGGGCATACACATAGGCAAATGTGTCTTGCATGTCTTGCATGTGCATGATTTTTAACATGGTTCAGAAAGCAATTTTCTAACACTTTGTGCTCCATCTAAAACATTCCTTGTGCCAGGAAGCTGCCAAGACTCGGGGGGGGGGGGGCAAACTCAATGGCAGATCCCACTGTTGACCCTTTCAGGTGGGGAAGGGAGGAAGGAGGAAGGAATTCAGATGATGAAGCAATTGTTTGAGCTCTCAGAGGAAGGAAAAGGTAGGTATGTGTACTCTCATTTCTTCCTTCTCCTCCAAGCTGAGATCAGCTGCTTCATCATTACCACCAATAAGTGGGCCAGTAGGAACCCTTCTTTGCATTTAACAATTTCTGGGGCAGAGTGGAAAGCATAGACCTGTGAAGCTCTTAGCACATAGTAGAGAATCTGGCCAATGCCTTAAATAAAAAAACAGCTTCCTAAGATCTACAGAGATACTTACAGAAATGCTTAAGCAAGCAAGAGCCCAAAAGTAGCAGGTTAAAACCTGGAACCTCAATCAGTGTGTGATACTAAATGAGACTCCCTCCTAAGCATACAGAAGCCTGGGTGACTTGGAAGGCACTAAACAGTGGAACCCTCTGCCCTGGACTGTGGTGGAGGTTCCTTCTTTGGAAGCTTTTAAACAGAGGCTGGATGGCCATCTGTCAGGGGTGCTTTGAATGCAATTTTCCTGCTTCTTGGAAGAGGGTTGGACTGGATGGCCCATGAGGTCTCTTCCAACTCTATGATTCTATGAACAGACTGCACTCTGGCACCACAAGATGCAGAGCTAACCTTAAGAAACTGGGCCACAAAGTGGAGTCCACAACATGTGAGTGTGGAGAAGAGGAAACCACAGACCACCTATTTCAATGCAGTCTGAGCCCTGAGCAATAGAGGATCTTCTTATAGCAACACCTGAGGTCAAAGGACATTTAGGATAATGGCAAGTTTTTAACTTTGTTTGATTTTTTAAAATACATTATAACTGTACCCTCAATTTGCTCCTGGCATTATAAATAAATAACACAAACTACATCCCAACCAGTATGTCCAGTGCAATGCTGACTGCTGGATCCTGGGAGTTGTAATTGTGGCGGAATGAAAATTATGCATCGTTCACATCTTTACCAATCCACACACTGTCTTGCTAGAGCAAATATAGGCCACACAGATTATCAGCAAAGAATAAGGTATTTGCTCTTTGTTATGTAGAGCAACATATATACAGTCATGTGAATAGTTGCATTGACTCACACATTGTCCTTTGAAAGAGATTCAAAATGGTCTTTGGTGTCCATGTGGAGGATCCTCCTCCAGCAGCTAGGAAGCAAAAATATACTGTCTTGGCAAGCTTCCTGCACAGAAAATCTAAACATGTAACTGTTACCAAAGCTCCCAGGCTCAGCTAGCTTCTCAGGCGTGGTCCAACCAATCAGCTTTGTGCTTTGCATTTTTTAGTTAACACACTCACCAAGTGATTTTTACATGCTTCAATAGTAGTTTGGAAAACATAACTCTTTAAAGCTTTAAACCATTCTGGTGATGCCTCATAAGCTGTCACCAGTCACCTGAAAATGGAAGAATAGCTAAACATGCACTCTGTTATATTTTAATAGTGCCTCTATAAAGCAGTTTCTGTAAAGTGTTATACACTGTGAGGGGCTGGTTCTGAATCCAGACTGTCGGTCTTTCTGCATTGTATGTGAAAAGGGGAAAACATAAGAGGATCAGGCAGCAGAGAAACATATTTTCACAAAGCATTGACATTCCTAAGCCAATAGGAAAAATACCACTCACAGCAGGTAGAAGAAACAAATAATGCATCTTAACCCCAAACCTTGGGTGAATGTAATCTGAAAGATTTGGTGGCTGTTGTCATAGTGATGAAACTAGCATTTGTCTGTGCCTGCTATTTTAATGTCATGTCCTACAGATTTCTCTATAATTTAAAGTGGAAAGTTGATGCAGTAAGATAGGCAGGGCTGGGGGTTTTTTGACAGTTGTTTTAGCTGCTTAATGGGAAAGTGACTTAAAAACTAAACTCACTATTACAAAAAATAAATTTAGAAATAGAAATTATAGAGCAGAAACCTTGCTTTGCATTAGAATAAATCAATGAGGTCTATAAACAGAAATAAGAGTCTATTCTTAGATTGCAAGGTACATTCATTTTTTGCTGATGCCACCCTTACTCATGCATTCCTATTCATATACTCTTGCCAAAATACTTAAAAGGGGAAGCAGTCAAGTCATGTAGCAGAAACAACCATTTACAATAGCTCTGAGGCATAATAAAATTTAACTAGCATTGCAGTGCTTCTAAATGCTACCCAATGTAATATATGTAAACTCATTAACTGATTGATTGACAGAATTTGTAATAATCAGACCTTGGCAAAACTCCCTTTTCAGCTACAATTCCCAGAATCCCCCACACAGCCAGGTCTTGATAAATGTAGAAAACTATGACTATATAAGACTATATTAGACAAGTCCAAGGCAAGCCATGCCCATCACTTGGAAAAATTAATGTTTGGGGCTGCGGCTCTGCAGGCAACACATCCATAAAGGCAATTCTCTGACAAATTGCCTCTGCTTTTGAAAATGATACTAGAGTCTATGAAAATGATACTATTATCACCTCTCTCGTTGCAGGGGAGAAAGATGAGTGCTTATGCAGACATCTCTGCATCCAAGCAGGGGCCACAGGGGACCCCAGAGAGTGGTTACCAGCGTTATGGTGTTCGGTCTTACTTGCATCAGTTTTATGAGGACTGCACAGCATCCATCTGGGAGTATGAGGATGATTTTCAGATCCAGAGGTCACCCAACAGGTGGAGCTCGGCATTCTGGAAGGTACAGCTACTCTATCATTGTCCTGCATTATCAACTACATATCAGTTTCGGTCTTCCAGTTACTTGAATCTCCTCTTTGCGTTGATATCTTTAAATAGGTAACAGGAGGGGAAGTTTTGGATACTGAGTGAACTCCTTCCATGATGTTTAGAAGCTTTGCAGTTATGCACAGCACTTTCTGTAACTGAAAGAGAGTATTCTGCAGACAATTGCTTTCTTTTTAAAAAATTTTACTATAACGGTAAAGGTAAAGGTTTCCCCTGACATTAAGTCTAGTTGTGTCCAATTCTGGGGGGTAGTGTCCTCTCTATTTCTAAGCCGAAGAACCGGTGTTGTCTATAGACACCTCCGAAATCATGTGGCTGGCATGACTGCATGGAGAACAGTTACTTTCCCACAGAAGTGGTACCTATTGATCTACTCATATTTGCATGTTTTCAAAATGCTAGGTTGGCAGTAGCTGAGGAGAACAGTGGTAGCTCACCCCATTCCTCGGATTTGAACTGTCAACCTTTTGGTCAGCAAGCTCAGTGGTTTAACCCACTGCGGGTTAAACCACTATAACTCCCAAATCTTTCCCCCAGCAAGCCTGAGCACCTTTTAATATTGGGAATTATAGTCCAAACACCTTCAAGCAACAGTACTTTGAATGTTAGAAAGTTACAAAGAAAAAGACCCATTTTTCCAAGCAAATGTAATTATAAATTATCTAATAATTATCTAATTATAATTCAGATTTTTCAGAATGAATTAACCCAAAGCGCACTTCTACATCTTACCTCATCTTGACTGAAAAATAACCTAAAGGGAGAACCATATTTTAAAAACTAAAAAGTGAAGATTTAGATTTCCTCTCTACTCATGTGCATCAACCTTCCCTAACCTGGGGGACTCTAAAGCTGTCAAGACAGCAAATCCTATCAATCTAAGTTATCATGGCCATTTCGCCTCATAACTAGAGTTGATAGGAGCTGTAGTCCAGCACATCTAGAAGACTCCAAGCCAAAAGGCAATTGATAAACAATAATAGGCTACTGTTAAAGAGTATTGCATAATTTATCAGATTATCATGTGATATGGCTATGGACTGAATTCTCCAGATGATTCAGTCTACATTTCTTATCATTTGTCATGCTAGCTATTGTGCCTGAAATTTTAAGCCCAAAACATTTGACAAACAAAGGTTAACCACTGCTGTTTTATATGCTGTTTTTGTGGTACATGCACAAAACCAAAACTGCAATCAATGGTCTTAAATTACACTGAGTTGTTCAGAGCTTGGAAAAATTCCTGATTTTTATACTACAATGGACCATGCTAGCTGGGAAATGTCATAACTTGTAGGTCTGAAAAAGTATATTTTACGGCTGCTGGATTTGTTACAATTTCATCTTGAACATATTAAAGAGCAGAAATTGAATTTTATTCTTTTTTCTTATTATGCCTTTTTCTCCTTGAAGCATGAAGTTTATGACCTAGCCCCACTGCTAGTTCCAACTGGATTAAGCCCATTGAATCAATGGGAAATTGGTAGATCAAAAAGCGTCTATGCACACTTTCAGTATCTGCACACATTTCTGCAGACTCTTCCTTGCCACTGTGTCCCTCCACTGCTTATTGATTTGGTTAATGTTGCAGATATCATCTGTCTCCTCAAATTCTACATGACAGAAGCCTCAGGGGACCTCAAGCATGGCATGTTCCACAGGAGCAATGACAGATGTCCGTGACATGTCAGATATATTTAGCAGCTCAAACTACAGCAATCACACAAAAGCCATCACATTCAGCTTTGCTGATTTTTCTAAACTGTTTTTGTTTTCTAGGTCGGACTCATCTCAGGAACAGTGTTTATGTTCACCGGGATCATAGTTCTTGTAGCTGGTTTCCTAGTGTCCCCTAAAATCGAAGCCCTCGGAGTAGAAGATTTTGTGGTGGTGGATACACGTGCTGTTCAGTTTAATAGAGCCCTCGAGGTATGCAAGTTGGCAGGAGCAGTATTATTTTGCATTGGCGGAACCATGACAGCAGCCTGCTTGCTCATGTCCGCATTCGCGAAAAGCTACTCCAAAGAAGAAAAGTATCTGCAGCAAAAATTTAAAGAGAGAATAGCTGACATAAAAGCCCATGCACACCCAGTCACAAAAGCCCCAGCACCAGGAGAATCCAAAATACCTGTTACACTGTCCAAAATACAAAATGTCCAGCCGTTATCTGAAACCTGATGTTTTCTGCCATCTTGTGAATTTTGTCACGTTTGGCTTTAACTAGCAAACAAGTCTGTGTTTGCAGTGCAGTATCAGTAGAGAAAGAAGCCGATTGGGGATGAAATCTGATGAGAGCATAGAAACGACAAGAAGGTGAAGGTTCAGACATTAGTGGTTTGCATAGAGCATTCCAGTATCAGGTGTGTGCGTGTGCGTGTGTATGTTTAAAAGTCCATTGATCTCTTTTGAACCACAAGACTTTGCAAAACACAGTGCAAATCTCCCCACACCCTGCTTTAGTGTCAAACATTAGCCAAATTCACTAGTTACAGTAATCAGAATTCTATTTCCAATTATTGTGAATGAGTCAGATTGGTTTTGTATGCTGCTTGATCACTCCTGTTTGGCTTGTCCTTTGATTGGTAAAGAAATATACAAACAGTACCTCTCTGGGAGGTATGATGCAAAATGTATATCTTCCCCTGAAAAAGCAGAGTCATAAACCATACCTAGTTCTTTGCTTACACATTTGGCTTATTAGGAGAGAGGCAAACCAGGATCTTTGATTCATATGCCGTTATAAATGAACCACAAATTGAAGCCATGTGGCTTGTTTTTCCAGTCATATTTGCAGTGAGAATCATTGGTTACCAGCATGCAGCTTATAAATGAAAGTTGGAGTATTGATGGAGCTCTGGATTAGAATTATATGTAAACCAGGGCACTTTATTATTTCCAGATCAGTGACATATTTATATGATTTTACTGTACACAATATGATTCATGCTCTGATACCAATCCATAATTGTATTGGTAGCCAAACTCTACAAAGGGATGCGAGTAGCAATTTACATCTTTGAAACTTCCACTTCACCTGTTTGTCCTGCCAGTAAGGAAGGCTCCATTGTGAACTAAAAAAGCCAGTGTCAAGTTCATCAACAAAAGCAAGTGTGGTGGAAAATAAAATAGGCCACAAGCTGAACAAGATTTTCCTTCATAAAACGTTATTCGATTATAACCAGTGCTTTCTTGTTGCTGTCTGGTTTAGTTAAATATAAATGATAGATCACCAATTTAGTCATGTTATGAGTTTTCTCCAGCTGTTCTTGTCATCACATAAAGGAGGAGAGCGAGGGAACACATACAAAACTTCCTTTGGATTTTAAGTAACAAAATTCCATACATTCCTATCGCACCCTGAGCAGATTATTCCCATAATAACCACTAAATGGTCTTCTCTGTATTAGGCTGTAATGAAAAATGACCTGTTGTGAGCTCCACGCTTAATCTCTTGGCCCACACAACCTTATTTTCCATTTTACTTCTGAGGTTGTTGTTTTGTTTTTTAAAATAGTGAGCTATTTTAAAAGTGCCACTTTATTATGGTGGTGATTTTTTTGGGAAGGAAATTAAAACCGGATCAACTCTGCTGCAGTTCCAATCACAAATTCTTATTAGGAAAAATGCAATGGATTTTGTTTAGTCACAAAGGGGCATGTTTGCATTAGTAAAGATAAGGACCCTGCCCTGTGCCACATGTGTACTGTGATGTGTATACAGACCTGATTGAAGTGTACATAGCACTCCTAGGCTCAGATAAGCAGCTGTTCAGTACAAAGCCATTATGGGTGCAAATGTACACAGAAAGAAATGCACATACAGATCTCCTCCTTCATTGAAGAGGTGAAACCCTCATCATCTACCACAAATTTCTGGATTGGGAATCATTTATATCAGAATGTGGTCAAATAGTGTGGCCAATCCACAAGGCAGCAAACATTATCTCCCTCCTGTTGTGTTGAGTACAAACTACTTTTGCACTTTGAGCTCAGTTTACAGCAATTTAAGTAAGCCAAAGATGATGGGAAAAGTGGGAACGAGAGAGAGAAGCTTGGACATTTAAAACCTATTTAAGAAAGTGGGATGGCAGAAGATTAAATGGATGTTCCTTGCTGAATCGGGTCAGTTGAAGAGCATAAGACTGAACATAAGGTACATACTATTCTGCCCTCCAAGACAGAGGAAGTCTAGGGCATTGCCACCAGCATCTGCTACCTGAGGTAGCTTCCTCAGTCTGCCTGATGATAGAGCTGGCCCTGCATATTCCTACAAGGCATCTCTCTCCTAATTCTTGCCCCATTGACTGTAATAGGTCTATTACAGGAAAAGTCACTGTTAGACCATATCTATTTTTAAACATAAAATATTCTTCCTTAAACTCAGCTGCCTGACCTTAAAAGAAATTATCAGATGTTACACTTCTATTTTTCTAGATAATAGAGAAAGCTTATCCTTAACCAGAGTATAGCTATGTAAATGCTTATCTACAAATTTGTTCTTTCAATAAAAGTATAAGTTGTCTTTGTCTCAAAAAGACACAATTAACCTTAAACCTTTAGCCTATGACTCTAAAACAAAATTGTAAAAAAAATGAAATGTGAACTTTGTATTCTTTGACAACGTGCGCCCAATGTCTGTCTCTCTCTTTTTTTTAGTGGCTTCAATAAAATTATTAAGATCTGGTGTGGTTGTCTCTTTGAAATAATGCTACTGAGTGCTCACAATGAACTAGATTACTGAATGGTAACAGCTTTAGGAAATACTGGCCAAGAACATTGTAGGACAGGTAGCAGGAAGTGGAAGGTCTCATGTTAGTTGCTGTTTATGATTATACACATATAGACCAAGACCATACATCATCGCAAGTTGTAAATACATAAGACCCCCTTATTCATGGGTTCTTGTTTCACAGTTTCACTTGCCCATAATCTCTGCTCCTGGAAATGTTTGTGTGCATCTCTCTAATCTTTCAGGGCAGTGGAAGGAGAAGCTTCGGTTGAGCTCAAGGTCAAGTTCTGATGCTGATATCTAATTACTTCTAGCTTATTTTAAACTTTCAATTTTTAACTGAAGATTGTTGACCTGAAATTCCTCGCTCTTATTGAACACTATTCATGTGTAGTTAATGCAGTCTTAAAGGCTTTAACTGTGAACTGTTTGGAAAACGCCTAAGCCACCCAGCAGCTGTCTGTTTTCGTTTGCATACTAAGACTGTAGGACAAATCTGGATAACAGAGTGAAGCAGCTGAGAGTGTTCGGTAGTGGAGTCCAAGGGGAGTTTGAGAAGAAGATTACACTGTTCTGATTCTCTGTGTATTTTAACTGTTTTCTCCTCGGTCTAATCTTTCAGTGTGACTCTATGGTTTGCTTGAGCCAGAAATTAACTTCCCATGTCAAACATATGTACAAGCACCTAAAGAAGTGATAAAAGGAAAGTTGGGGGCAGAGCAGAAGCAAGTGAGTGGAAATTAAGTGGCACCCACACTGCTGTCATGGGAAGCATTGTTGCCAAGCCTCCTTTAACTTTGTACAGGATCCTATATTTTGGATCGCAGTTCACTACTTGAAGTTATTGGGTGAACTGTAAATAGTCAACCATGACCACCAAAATAGGGTGCAGCACTATCTTCTGTTTTAGGTATCCATGAAGCAAGGGGGGTGTTTTGAATGTATCCCCATGGATAAGGGTGTCTTACTGTATTCACTGACAGAGTTTCTCATTTACTAGTATAGCACAATCCCTATACTGAATATCATCTTGGTACTGCATATGAGAAATGGTGGATACAATATAGATATCATGTCATTGCACAGGTGTTTTGGACTTCAACTCCCACAATTCCTAACAGCCAGTAGACCATTAGGAATTGTGGAAGATGGAGTTCAAAACACCTAGAGGGACAAAGTTTGCCCATGCCTGGTGTAGTGCATAAAGCCACACTATTTTAGGTACATCATTACACATCTGCAAAAGTTTCACAAATAGAATGTTGTTCCCACCACCATCAATTCACTCTACATAGTCCAAAAAACTATCTTAACATGCATAGCGCAACGAAGGACCTGATCACACTAGAGCATAGATCCACTTTAAACCTGATTGCTGCCTCCTGCTGAATTCTGGGGCTTGTAGTTTAGGGAAGAGCTCTTAAACTGCTTAGCCAGGTCCTGAGCCTCCCTAAAGTATAGCTTCGTAAGACTGCCCTAGAAGACTAGCAAGGAACTGCCAAGAATGGAAGGCTAAATTGGCCCTCTAACAGCAAGCAAGAAAGCAAACAGAAACCCAGAAATCAGAAGAGGAGGTTTAGAATTGCTTAAATATATTGGAAAAATCATCTTCCCCACCAGTTTGGGGCATCCTGCCAGAGATTTCTTTGAGAATCCTTGAGGAAGGGATAACTGATCACACCCACACCATGCTTACTAATGGATTGTTCATGGAAGAAATTGTTATGAGATATGAGATATCCCCATTTGAACCAGGTATTGATTTGTTGTGAGGAGACAATTATTTCCAGTGCGAAGAAAACCACATTTACAACAATTCTGCAATGCCACAATGCTTGGAGAGCAATAATATCGTGAAATACGACTGAGTCAAAAACAGAACTAATGCATTACTATGATGGTATATTGGCATAGTGTGATAAGTTTGATTCTGAGGTTACTGTTTCTGCCTTCTTCACTTTCCCTTTTGCATCCTGAGGTTGATTCTGCTGACCAGTCTTAGAAGAATTATTGAAATAATTCAATTTGAAATGCTCAGAGCAGGCATCCTATAAGCTATTATCATTCTTTTATCATTCCATTGTTTAGAGTCACAATGTCAAATCATAATGACAGGGCTTTTGTTTTGTCCTTTTCATGTAAATGGAAACTTGTTTACTGTAGTTTTTCTTTCACTGCTGGCAGGCTAGCCATGTGGGCAGCAGCCAGGCAGGGCATTGCGACCTTTCCAATGTGAAGTTTAATTAAAGATGGTGAGGAGCAGACATCTGACATTTTGAGCATGCTGAAGGATATTTAAAATGATGGCTCTGATATCCCCTAGACCCCTTCCATCTTTCCCATCTCTTTTTGATAACATTATTCTTCAAATCAGATTGTAAATCTACTTCACAGGCATTTCTGGGGGAAACAGCCAAGATATCTAGAGCATGTTTGCTTTGAAAAGAGCAGGATCCACTGTTATTCCAGCGCAACCTTGGCAAGGATGAAATGCCCTCAGAACAATTCGAAAACAGTTATTGGTCAGAGGTTTGGCTCAGTAAGACTGGTGCACCATTTGCAGCCATTGCCTAGTACAATCAGACCTGGCCAGGGTCCAGCCTGCATTAGTTGCATCTCAGAAGGATTATTATAATAGGAGGTTGCCCATGAAATACATCTGAAGATTTCAAATACTACAGAAGGCTACAGCTATAAGACCAGTGAGTTCTGATGTTATGGACTTTTGCAGTGAAGTGTTGTTGCATTTATTGGGTACAGTACATGACGGTCATGTATAGTTCGTGTAAAAAAATCTAACTGAAGGTGGTGGGAGTATAGAATATCAGGAGTTTTTGAAGGGGTATTAAAAAGTCTAGATGAATAGTCAGTCAAGGTTAATAGCAGAAGAATTTGGGCCCTTCCACACAGCTCTATATCCCAGAATATCAAGACAGAAAATCCCACCGTATCTGTTGTGAACTGGGTTATCTGAGTCCACACTCAGATAATGTGGGATTTTCTGCCTTGATATTCTGGAATATAGGGCTTTGTGGAAGAGCCCTTAGTGTCAGAGGCCCCTTCCACACAGCTGAATAAACATCTGTTTTGAACTGGAATATATGGCAGTATGGACAGATATCCCAGTTCAAAGCTGATATTGTGGGATTTTTGCTTTGATATTCTGGGTTATATGACTGCGTGGAAGGGCCCAAAGATGGAGATTAATTGGAGCCAGGGTCAGAGTTAGGTAGGATATAAGTGAGAAAGTGTGATATATGTGAACTGGAGTTAGTATCAGCTAGAAATTAGGTGTATTCAAATCTTTGATGTTACATTCCATTTTTGTTTAGTTTTTTTGTTATATCTCTGAGAGAACAACCTAAGGAATATTGGAAGCTTGAGTTCGATTACAGTGGTGGCGGAAGTCATTCAAGGGTAGTGGCTGTCCATTGGGGAGAGTAGATGAATAATGTCTCAAACAGGAGTCATGGGAGCAACTAAAATATGCCCATATTTGATGCCACAGTGATGGGATGGGAGAACATTCTCACATTTGGTGGGCAATGTAGAGATAAATGGAAGCCCTTGCATGGTACTCTCTAGAGCTGATCACAATCAAGTGACAGCCGATCACAATCAACAACATAACCAGCTGTTTCTGGGCTTTGCTATTTGGGGGTGAGCACCTTGAAAGAATATGCAATAGCCCCCACAAAAGCTTTTTTTAACTTTTAAAATGTGGCAGTTTTCAAAACTAAAATTGAAAGATCATCAATATATACCAAAATGAAAATCATCTATGCCACAGTATTTATGATTTCTATGTATATCATATAGTCATATCAGGTGAAGAAGGGTGAAAAGGAAGAGATGGTGTACTAGAGGACAGTTTTACAGATTCCTAGAACAAACCATGCCCAAACTCTCCCCTCAAAGCTAAAATAACCAAACTGAAGCTATTGTACTCTGGACATATCATGAGATGACATGACTCATCAGAAAAGAAAATAATAAGGTTATGAAAAGGGGAGAACTGCATTACAGGTAAAGGTAAAGGTTTTCCCTTGACATTAAGTCCAGTCGTGTCCAACTCTGGGGTGTGGTGCTCATCTCCATTTCTAAGCCAAAGACCCGGCATTACAGGTAGAGAGGTGCAATTAAGGAAGCAAGGTTTCTAAGTTTGCAAGGCCTGAGCATAACTTTTGACAAAAGGTGAGTTGTAAGTATCTCATCTCTCATTTGTAGGACCACCATAAATTAAAAACAAACACTGTGTACAATTGCAACCTCTAGTCCAAACCGAGCCATTGCACTTCACACATATGTGATGACATGACCCATTGAAAAAGGCGAAAGAAGAAAATGCAAAAGCTGGGTTGCAGTTAAACATTTTTTAAAAAAACAAGATTATAGCAACCAGACTTATTGACAACTGGCAAATAGAGGGAGAAAACATGGAGGCAGTAACAGACTTTGTATTTCTAAGCACAAAGATTACTGCAGATGCAGATTGCAGCCAGGAAATCAGAAGAAATTTACTTCTTGGGAGAAGAGCAATGACCAATCTCAATAAAATAGTGAAGAGTAGAGACATCACACTGGCAACCAAGATATGCATAGTTAAAGCAATGATATTCTCTGTAGTAACCTGTGGATGTGAGGGCAGGACCATAAGGAAGGCTGTATGAAGGAAGATAGATGCTTTTGAACTGTGGTGCTGGAGGAAAATTCTGAGAGTGCCTTGGATCAAACTAGTCCATACTCCAGAAAATAAAGCCTAACTGCTCACTGGAGGGAAGGATATTAGAGGCCAAGATGAAGTACTTTGGCCACATCATGAGAAGACAGGAAAGCTTAGAGAAGACAATGATGCTGGGGAAAATGGAAGGAAAAAACAAGAGGGGGCAACCAAGGACAAGATGGATGGATGGTATCCTTGAAGTGGCTGGATTGACTTTGAAGGAGCTAGGGGT